TGCAAGCACAACAGGATCAAATGAAGGCGTTGGTCACTGCTTTGACCAGCAACCAAAGGATAGCCGTCCAGGACGTCAGCAAGGATCAGTACGATCAGCTGAGCAAAGACGTGCAAAGATTCGTCTCAGACGAAGATACAGGTAACACCTTTGCTTACTGGTATGGCAGGTACGGACCGGTCATTCGAGACTCCCATCTTTCGGATCAGAAGAAGCGCGATTTGATCCTTATGAAGCTGGATGAAGAAGCATACCGAAAGTATGCCGATGAGATCCTGCCTGCGCAACCAAACGACTTGGACTTCGACACCACCGTCGCAAATCTCCAGAAGCTGTTCGCCTCCAAGAAGACGCTTATCAGGAGACGGTATGAGTGCTTAAGGATAACGTGCCCTCCGCTTACGCCAGCGTACGTACCGTTTCGCGAGTACGCCAATACCATCAAGCAGATGGACGAGGATGCGCGCCTCAAGGAGCTCGACTACACGGCAATGAAGACGCTGCAATTTGTAGCAGGTCTTCAAGATCCCTCACTTAGGGAACTTCGCCTTCGGATGATTCGGCGATTGGACGCTCACACGGAAGAAGCACCACTGACAATAGAGGACCTAGTCACGGACTGTGAAAATTTTACTGCCCTGAAAATGGATAATACAGACATGGAAGGAACGCGCGACATCCATGCTGTATGGAAGAAAAAGGTGAATTGCTTCATATGCGGAGGACCACATTTCAGAAGAGAGTGCCCCCAATCTGGCAGCACTGGTCGGAAGAAGCGACGGAGGACAGGTGCAAAACGCTTTGGTAGCAAAGGACAGTGCAAGAATGTGGTCGCTTTCGACGCCGAGAGTGCGCGGACTTATCTCGACGTCGTAATCAAAGGATGCTCTCTCAAGCTCCAGCTGGATACGGGTGCAGACATAACCTTGATATCGCGTAGAGCTTGGAAGAAGATAGGATCGCCTACTCTGGAACCCTGTATGATGCCTGTGAAAACCGCAGACGGAACGCCAATGCAGATTCATGGTAAATTCTCAACCGACTTTTCCGTCAGAGGTCGAGTTACAGGGAAGATGGTTCGTGGAAATGGCACATGCTACGTCACCGAAGGCTCGAACCTACTGGGACTGGAAGGTGCATCCAGCTACCGGCATACAAAAAGCTGAAGGACAACTACCACTGCAGAAAGGTGACTAGTGAAGAGAAGTTCCGAGCCGAAATGGTCGCCGACTTGAAGAAGAAGTATGGGGAAGTCTTAAACAGTGACCTGGGAAAGTGCACGAAGAGTAAGACAAAATTAGTCTTAAAGAGCAATGCTGTTCCAGTCTTCAGGAAGAAGCGACCGGTGCGTTACGCGTCAGCACCGGAACTGGAAGCCGAAATCGATCGCTTGGTAGCCGAAGGGGTCATTTCTCCGGTCGAACACTCAGAGTGGGCCGCGCCAGTGGTCGCCGTCAAGAAGAAAAATGGCAAAATTCGTCTATGTGCCGACTTCTCGACAGGATTGAATGATGCATTGCAGCTGCATCAGCACCCATTGCCCACGTCGGAGGAGGTATTCGCAAAACTAAACGGAGGCCAGCTCTTCACACAACTCGACCTGGCCGAAGCTTATCTACAGGTGGAAGTTGAGGAAGCATCGAGAGAGATGCTAACCATCAATACGCACAAGGGATTGTATCGCTACAATCGCCTACCTTTTGGAGTAAAATCCGCGCCAAGCATATTCCAACAGATTATGGATTCTATGATAAGCGGACTTGATGGAGTAGCCGCTTATCTCGATGACATCATCATCACGGGAAGGAGTTACGAAGAGCAAAGCCAAAATTTGGAAGCTCTTTTCAAGCGGATCAAGGACTATGGATTCCATGTCAGGTTGGAAAAATGCAACTTTCTGATGCCAGAAATTTGCTACTTAGGCTGCATCATCGATAAGAACGGACGCCGGCCAGATCCGAAGAAAATTGAGGTCATTCAGCAAATGCCAGCGCCGAAGAACATAGCGGATGCCGTTCCTTCCTCGGCATGACCAACTACTACGGACTATTCGTAGCAGAGATGCGCCAGCTCCGTGCACCCTTGGACGCACTGCTCAAGAAGGAAGCAAGGTTCGAGAGGACAAAGGAATGTCAAAACGCATTCGAGCGTGCTAAGGAAGTTTGGCCTCGGATCTACTCCTTACACATTTCGATCCTAAATTGCAGATAGTGGTAGCTGCCGACGCATCGGATTACGGAATTGGAGCTGTGATCTTACACAAGATGCCGGATGGATCGGAAAAGGCGATTTGCCATGCAAGCCGGAGCCTCACAGCCGCCGAGAAGAATTACGGACAAATTGAAAAAGAAGGACTTGCACTGGTTTTCGCAGTGCGTAAGTTCCATCGATATATATACGGACGCCGATTCAGGCTGCTCACAGACCACAAGCCGCTGCTGCACATTTCTGGACCGAAGAAGATGGTACCTGTGTACACAGCGAACAGATTGCAACGATGGAAACTTATTCTTCTCGCAACGACTTCGATTTGGAGTACCAGAAGACGACCGAATTCGGACAAGCCGATGCATTGTCTCGATTGATCCCTCCAAGGCCATTCCAAACCGAGGATGTCGTGATAGCGAAGATAGAAGAAGATGTGCAAGCCCTTCAAGCTGCCGCTGTACGAGCGCTACCAGTGACCAGGAGTAAGATTGAAGAGGAATCCCATAAGGACGAAAACATCATGGAGGTTATACAAATGCTACAGTCAGGATTGTGGCCGTCCAAGCCGAAAGGAGATATCGGAAACTGGAGAGCACTGGGCGAGAGTTTATCAGTGCAAAATGGATGTTTGTACTTTGGCCACAGAATAGTTATTCCAGTCTCGCTGCGACAAGAGGTTTTGAAGCAGTTACACGAGGGACACCCTGGAATGACGAGGATGAAGATGCTCGCGAGAGGATTCGCATACTGGATGGGCATCAACAGAGACATCGAAAACTCAGTGCGCCGCTGTAGGGAATGTCAAGAAGCAGCCAAGATGCCAGTGAAGACTGTACTACATTCATGGAAAATGGAAGAAAAACCATGGAATCGAATCCACATTGATTATGCAGGACCACTAAATGGAAAGATGTATCTCGTCGTAGTCGATGCGTACTCAAAATGGCCGGAAGTGCTAGAAATGTCGTCATCGTCGACTGCTGCAACTTTAAAGGAACTCAGACTACTCTTCGCAAGATTCGGAAATCCGCGAGTAATTGTGTCGGATAATGGAACACAGTTTACGGCAAAGGAATTCCAAGACTTCTGTGAAGAGCAAGGAATCAAGCATATGCGCTCGCCTCCGTTCCATCCACAATCGAATGGTCAAGCCGAGAGGTTTGTGGACACCTTCAAGAGAAGTTTTCAGAAAATCAAGGAGGGAGGGACGGCACAGAAGCTAGCAGAATTTTTGCAATGCTATCGAAGAACGCCCTCGACGTCTACCCCTGGACAACTTTCGCCGGCCGAACTGCTGCTGGGACGTCAGATGAGGACACCGCTGTCGCTATTAGATGAAGATTCCAAAGAAGAAGGAAAGTTGGCCAGAGAAACCATGGAAAAGCAGTTTAACAGTCATCATGGAGCACGGAAGAAAGCGTACCAACCACAAGAAGACGTGTGGGTACGTGATTTTCGCTCTGGATGTGAAAAATGGATTCCAGCGCGTGTGAAGAAACGCTACGGAAAAGCCGTATACGATGTGCTTACGGAAGACAACCAGTTATGGAGACGACATGCGAACCAGATGCGCAGTGGATCAAGTGTGGATCGCCGTCGTGACTCATCGCACACCATGCGTTCCGAAGAAGGCCGATTGGACAATGGCATGGACATCGCTGAACACGATGCAACTTCAACTACGTCATCAACCAGACCAAGTCGCCATCGTCGCCCACCAGAACGTCTACAAGTAGATGTAAGATGTACCGTTGTTCATCTTAGGAGGGAGGTGTTGTAGAGCCGTCCCTTATATTGGAACTTGCTCGCTCACTATAGGCTAGGTCGATATGGTCTCTGTGGTTGCGGCCAGGGCCCGGCACAGATCGTCTAGAAGCAGGCTAGACTTCGTCTTTGAAGCAAGCAGCAAAGAGGATATCTTTTTGAGAGTCGGAGCCGAGCACCGAGAATAAGCGCCATTTAGTCGAACACAAGCATTTCGGACAGGTTATCACACAATTGATATACTCTATCGTGCATGGCGAAAAGTGCGAGCGATTTGAAAGCAAGGCTTAAATAAACAAATTGCTTGTTTACAGCACACACAGAAGCATATGACACCAAAATGAAACTGTATGTATAGAAAATTATCTGCGAAAGGATTATGTAAAAAGATTTGAAAACTTATGTGAAGTAATACCTTTTCCACAATAGATCGTCTCCAGACGGCCATCAGAAGATCTGAGGTTGTCTGAAGCATATATTTTCGTCACTTCACATAAGTTTCGGATCTTTTTAGCATGGACGGATTCCCCGGTCAAAAATCTATCCCTGAGCATGAAGACATTTTCATATCATTGCCTTTCCTTTGTCTTTTGCCTTCATTTCTTCTCCTTTTGTTAAATATCGCGCTCTAAGGGTTGTTTCAGACTACCGCACTGACTGCAGCAGACTGCAGCTGACTGCACTGACTGCAGCAGACTGCAGCAGACTGCAGCTGACTGCAGCTGACCGCACCGGTCGCAGCCTCTTTTCCTAAGGGTTGTTTCAGACTGCCGCACTGACTGCAGCAGACTGCAGCAGACTGCAGCAGACTGCAGCAGTCTGCTGCAGTCAGTGCGGCAGTCTGAAACAACCCTTCGCGAAAAATTCGCGCCGATCGTACCTCCTGACCGTCTCCCCCCCCCCCCCCGAAGTGTATGTGTCGGTTTGGTTGTTGGTCCGGATCGGTAGAAATAAAAATTTCTATTCGAAACATACGTACAGACATACATACAGACATAGAGGCATAGAGACATACAAACAGACATTCAGCTTTATTTATACAGATATAGGAGGTGAGCGATCAAGGCTAACATAATGGAAGTATCAATAACGATAGTCCCTGGCATACGGTGGTTCGAAACTGTACTGCTCTAACGGCGGAACTTCGTTCATCGTCGTTGGTGATGGCTAAATGAGACCTTGTATGGGAAGCTTTAGAAATGACTGCATGATCTTACAGATGCGAAAGATGTCTGATCGTAATCTCTCTTCTCCCTTTTGTCTTTCGCTCTGTTGATCAACCAAACGATCAACCAAGCAACAAATGCTATCACGACCAGGATGCAAAATATGACGATGAGTGCAACAGCCCAACCATACTTGGTGTGCCTGAAATACTGATACTCCTAAACAATCCAAATCAAATGAAAGAGAAAACACTCATTAACGTAGTATCAACCCATCGAACAATGTGCGACTATGGGCATTTGTTATTACAACTCAGTCATTATTTCTAACGCTTCGCAGGCGAAATTGGATCATCAAAGTCCCAAATAAATTTGAAGATATTCACAGGTCACGTGTTCACCCATTTTTAAGTTCTGCAGGCCGAATCTGATCTGTACGAGCGACTATGACTGCACTTTCAGCATGGCTGTGTAAAACAACATGCCTGCCAACGAAACCTTGAGCAAATTTACTCAAGCACAATGAAAAAAAAATTGGGCAGAGATACAACCAATGGGAGGACACCGTAACACAGATAATTCCGAGTATATGATTGAGTAAACTTTGAAGACTTGATTTACTGAAATAACATAAGAATGCTCAATGCACTACAAGAAGTATAGTTCATTTTTAAAATCGTGACGAAGGAATTTACTGCGGACTTTGCGCCTACGGGAGCATAAAACGTCCGTGCAAGAAGGCATCACGTCAACATTCAGCTTAGTCACTTCCAATGTCTGAATATTATCATACGTAAGCAAAAAAACCACTCGACTAAAGACGAAACTGAAGAAATGCGATTTCCGGAAGTGGCGTGCGTGTCGCGGGCGGTCGCGCCATCATCACGATTTTCCAAATACCCTATGCATTAATCTAGACATTTCTACAAATTTTGACGCTTTCTTCAACAACTCTTTATTTTGCATAATGACTACGGCTCGTAACTTGTTTCACAATTGGGATATTGAGATATTTACATCAAGTTGTTTAGAACGATAAACAAGCAGCTCCTGAAATTTTTTTATGAAAAAAAAAAGTCTAACCAATCGTCATTGTTGCAGCATCCGTACTGACAGCAGCCGATGTCTTTGTAGCACCGTTCCACAACTGTTGATTGTGTGTTTGCGATACCATAGAAGCAATCGTAAAACGACGGATCAACAGCTAAAATTGAGATATAGTGTGTTAATCGGTGTTTTCGTATAGAATGAATTATTCATAATCTACTTTGCCAATGCGTTCGCTGAATCTGTAAATTTTACACTTAATGTGTTAGGCAGATCTCATGCACTTTCAAAAACGAATAGCCGCTCACAAGCAAGATGAAGAATTGTCCAGAAAAAACCAGTATCACTTACTGTTGACTTTCTGGTCCACCAGTGCAGTACGTACAATATTTTGACCATTGCCAAGAACTTGCCCAGATTGAACAACCCCAGTTTTAACAGTCTGATCCGATTGGCGTAGATAGGGGCTTATCGTTGTAGCTAAAATGAAATTTTTCAAAAATAGCTATAGCCACAGTTTTACCTATTGTCAAGATGTTAACTTTCATTCTCGCTCCAAGTGTTTTTCCTTATACTAGCTACCCCTCTCCCTTCCCTTATGATAGTGCGATAGGTTTTGTTTCTATTCACAGTTTATAAACGATTACCTGAAATTCCGAGTTAAAATAAATAATGCCTACCTGCATCACGACCCCCCCCCCCCTACTGCACTCCTTCGCTTCTGAAAATATTCAGAGGCACACAATAGGGAGTATTACCATAGCATTGCCCGATTATTGACTACATACTTCATTTCCAGTTTCAATCCACCTGCTTCAACAATGTGCAAAAATTTCATTTGTATACGGAATCGTCACCATTTGAATCGTAGTGAGAAAAAACGCAGTCAGTATAGATCAAAGCTTTTCCAAAAGACTACATATACATATTCATAGAAAGTTTTCGACATTCATATTCGCAAACATGAAAACCATCTTTTTGATGTAAAACGATTGCTGTACAGTCGGACAGAGACATTCTATGCAAGTTAAACACACAAGAAGTTGTAGGAAGCATATTCAATATTGACAAGAATCATAGAAAGCAAATGTATGGCAATGAGTCATTGATTTCAATCCTAAAATTATTCAGGCATATAGCAATTTCGTCAAGTACATAGAAGCAAGTGAAATTGCAAAATAAAGTATTGTAATATGCATTCTTGTGCTGAAAGGTTACTACAAACCAGTGCGGTTACAGGATCTTCGCCAGGGAAGAGGGGCGGCAAAAAATTTTTTTTAAATAAAGGTGCGTGGCGTTAGTCACGCACTCCAAAAAATTTTGGGGTGCTTCTCAAAGTTTTTGCGGGTCCATAACCCTTAAAATTTAAGAAAAAGAGGCATGGTGGCAGCTAGGCCTCCAAAAAAATTCTTTTACAAGGCTAATTTGAATTTTCAAAGAATTTCAAAATTATTTCGATTGTCTACAAGAATATACAAGTCACTTCCAAATTTTTATAACCCATGTGAGTAAATTTCACAAATTTTGCGACCCATTCTCGGGGGGGGGGGCGAGGGGGCAAATACGGAAAAAATACAAATACGCCACTGATGCGAACAAAGCACTTTGTGCGGACAACAATTTTCTCGTGAATAAAAGCATTCGGGCTTGAATCTGTAATTTATTTTTACGTTGAGTAGATCGAGAAATTTACTCCTCGATTTACTGCGAATTATAGGCAGCCCCATTTTCTCGTCTTACAATCCAGTCACTGCTTTTTTGGTATTTAAGTCTAGATCGCGTTCATTCTGGTCTCATTCCCGTTCGTTTTCATGCTCAAGAAATGTGGAGAAACGGGGTAGGCCAAAGTTAATCCTCTCAAGCACGCGTGCGCAAGCTCTACGCAAACATGACACATGCCGAAAAGTACCGGCTTGATAAGTGCCCTTGCAAAACTTAGCAAACAACTCTGAATACTCAAGATAATTCGGGAAAAGTTACACACAAGTTATCTCAAAATCACTGAGCTATTGCCTCTTATGGAGTCATAATGGTGGGATCATGATAAATGGTGGGATCATAATATCAAATATTTGCAACTATGTTTTATTTAGATTAGTAGTTTATTGAAGAAAAAATCTAATGCCCCGTTGCTTAATTTGAACCAGCATAGAATGAAACGATAGTAGTTGGGGATTTATTTTATGGCTTAGCTTTTCCAATGGATTTGCTACGGCACCCTCAATAATCTGAATTTCCTATAATCGAAGTTCATCTTGTCAAAACCAAATATTTCTTTTTGTAAGATTCCTCGTGTTACTGATAAAAGAAGTAGCGGCATTTACTAGGATGTCTCATAATTCTTTTACCGTTTTTACCGTAAACATCAGCATTACTCAAGAACAGTGGCACTTACAAAGGGTACGAATACATGATCATACTTCAATATGTATGAATTATATGATCACGTGCGTGGGAGGAGCTCAAGACGTCTAGAGGCGGAGTTTGCCATTTTACTCCATTTACTTTTTCCTTTATTTCTCGTGGAAAAAATATGGAAAGCCTACAACTGAATGTTCGATGTGTCGAGCACATGCTAGAATGAATGAAAGATTTTTGGGATTTTTTGGAGCGGAGATACGATTTTTGACGGTAAAGTTTGTTTTAGAAGCTTGCAGTTCTTAGCTCAAGACTTCACGTGGGTATAAAAATGTGACAATGATAATAAAAATAGATAAACAAAAACGCTTTCCGGCCTTAGGATCTGTCCAGAGCTTGCAAACTGAAAATTCATCCAAATGATTGCCCTTCAGGATATCATAAATCTTGAGATTCCCAGAAACGAAAAAAAAACGATGATGGATTTAGGTTTTGTCAAATGTGTCAGGTTGTGAAGATACTGCAAATAGAGAATGTACGCCTATGTTCAACAAAAAAGCAACTGTAATTGCAAGGAAAAGAAAAGCCATTGTGGCAGATGAAATCGAGAAGTCTGAATTTTCATAATGATGGAATCATTTACCGTTGCCGAAAGTAGTTTATGATATAGTAGATGAAGAGGAATAGTATAGGAAGGTATAGAAATGAAAGGGCCACTTGGGAAACTCACCAAGACCATTCCATCTAGACCCAGAACCAGCAGCAGCCATTGTTCCACCGTCTGATTAGGTGAAATGTTGTAGAGTTGACGGAGCACTGAAAAACCGGATCGAAGTGAGGCCGGAGAGAGGCAGGCACTACAGCATGTCAACATACAACCGACATCGAGGATTCCGCGCGTGTTTCCGGATTCCGCAAACAGCAATGTTAAGAGCACGTTGCACGAGGTGCACGTACACAAGCGCCTGGTTATCAGATGTGGATATTGAAAGGGGGGGAGGAGAGATGGTAGTGAAGCTCATTGTATTTTTTGTTGTTGACAAGCTGACAAGTGTGCAAATGGATAAATATGGCTGAAATTGCACTGGCGAAATTGCGCTGGCGAAATTGCACAAAGCTGCAGTACGCATCAAAATGAGATCTGTTAAATGATTCCCATTGACTCAAACAAGTGACTGGAACTTCCGCAGAACGTTTGGGAAAGTTCCGCCGGATCACCTGCGGGTTACCTAAAAGTGCTGTTTCGGTGAATTGTCAAAGAATGTAATAGAAATTTGCAGCCATAGTACTTCAGTAAAAAGAGCAATGAACGCTAAAGAAAGTTTGTCAGAGCATATTTAAATGCACTCACGAAATTCTTTGGCGGCAGCAATCCTTTCTAATAAGCACGCAATCCTACATATCCTCGAAGTTATTTTTATTTTGATATGCGCATTGCACTGCCCATTTTGAGTGACTTTTCCCAATTCTCACTTTTCTCATTCTCATTTTTCCCATTTTTTCTCTCCGTGCCCTCTTTTGGTCTTCTTGAATATGTATTTCTTGATCTTACTTAAAGGCTACTGCATGACGAAGGCGTAATATCTTTGCGCGCAAACGCGGCTTTATTAGCCGCAGAGCGCATGAGACGCAGGTTTTATAATGGTGAAGATACGCGCGCGCCGCGCTCGCGCCCGCTCAACTGATACCGCTTCTGCGCCTTCGTCATGCAGTAGCCTTACTTACTTGGATACTTAGATGGTCCAGCTTCACGTGACGAAGCACGGAAGCTTCCCTTTTTCCGTGTCCCTCGCTTCAGACATCAAGACTTCTTGTTTGACGTCGGTGGCCGCGTCCACAAGTTCCAGGTGCAAAAATCTATCCAGCTGATTTCTCAGATGTCCATCCGTTCCACGAACACGTATGCCCATCTCGTTGAAGGTCTTCCTCGGAAACGTTTTGCTTCGCGAGGAATCCAGTCTGAAGTTCTCAGTGTCCATCTGTCTTCTGTTCTTCTCATGATGTGCCCGGCCCATCGATGTTTCGCTTTCGCAACGTATCCGCTGGGTCACGAAGACGGGACAATCTTCTCATATCCGTACTGCGGAGTCCGACAAGATGTTGTTCGTGTCGGGTCATCTTCAGAAGACTGCGCTCTAGCGCTCCTTGAGTGGTCCTTAGGATTGTTTCATACTGCCGCACTGACTGCAGCAGTCTGCAGCTGACCGCACTGACCGCAACGGCCGCACAGATCGCTGCTCGTTTCGTAAAAGAGAAAACAATTGCGATCAAGTCAAAACACCGTCATTTGCGCCTAGGAAGTTCATAGGCTTCAACTTACTCTTCTCAATCAAATTTTGGCGATTGTTTTTCTTTGGTATGCTCACATTTGTTCTGATTCTTCCTGTTAATGCGTATCCTGTTTTACTCTCGCTCTTGTTGTCTTTTATGTCTAGGCGTATATTGTTGTTGATTATTTGGGCTACAAGCATCTATCCTCTCCACCCTTACGAAAGGACGCAGCGATTTTGCGGCCCTTGCGGTCAGTGCGGTCATGCAGTCTGCTGCAGTCTGCTGCAGTCTGCTGCGGTCAGTGCGGCAGTCTGATATAATATTTTTTGCTGTGTCACACTTCATGTGACCACCCTGTATACATTCGACGTCGGATATAAAATATATACGCATTCTTTATTTTTCCCTCTGCTAGAAATCGAGAAAATGAAAATTTCGTGATTTTGTCAAAGCAATATTGAGCTGTTTCCATACTAGTAAATGTAAACTACAAGGCTTCAGCAGTACAACTGTAAACTTTTAGTTTTTGGCAAGGACAGTTTAAAAAATTTCAAAGTACTAAATCCCTGCGAAGATAACTGAATTTGGTATTTCTCGAAGACTAGCTCTTAGACGAGGCTGAAAAATTACGGTTGTATTTCTAAAAGATTAAACCGTGCAATTACTATTGTGGGAACAAGCATTGTTTTGGCAAAACTAACGAGTGTGTCAGATAAAAACCAGGCGTAGTTTAGGCACAATTTCGATATGGCGCTAGTGCTGTGCTGGAACTTTGCCTGCGTTGCAGGCGCAGGCACTGCCTCAGACAATTCATCGGAACTTCCGCAGCACTTTCCATAAAGCGCTGCGAAAACGCAATGAGGCTCGAAAGGTATCCGCAGCGCTTTGACCTGCCAGCGTTTCCGCAGGATTTTGAGAGGGCATGCACTTGCGATTACGAAATAGAAACGCATCTTCAGCAATCAACAGCGCATAGCGCATTGCTCTTTCCTTCCATACTGTTTCGCCTCTCTTCCTCTCCTTTTCTTTCTCTTTTTTGTTGTTTTTTTCAGTGTTGGCGTAAGTAAACCTATACCCCTTCTAAGGGCCGCATGCACTAACATTTCGGTGGGGAGGGGATCGCAGCTTCAGAAGAAAGCTTCATAACCTGAAGCTCAGGATATCTGGATTTCACGCTGTCTACCTATCCGTAAGTACTCCCACCATCCTTCACTATGAACATATTGAGCAGAAGTGAGAAGCTGTACAAGCCGCATTTCCCAGCTTTTTGTAGGATCTCCTGATGATCCCTGGGGGACGAACATCTATTCTTCAAAGTCATTTTTCTTTCTCCGAAGTTAACGAAAACCTTCCAAAGCTACACTGAACAGCTAACACGACAGTGCTAAGCATGTTGCTGATGAGAACAAATGAATTTTGAAAAATCGAATTTTTCGGTATACCCCAAATTTCGAGCTGTGGATCATCGAAAATTTCATGACTTCAAAACATCATTTGTTCTTATCAGCAACATGCTTAGCACTGTTGGGTTAGATAATCTGCACAACTTTGGAAGTTTTTCGTTAACTTCGGAGAAAGAAAAATGACTTTAAAGAAAAGCGCCGGGGATCATCAGGGATCATACAAAAGCTGGAAAATGCGGTTTGTACAGCTTCTCGCTCCTGTTCAACATGTTCATAGTGAAGGATAGTAGGAATACTTACGGATAGGTACACAACGTGAAAATGTAAGTATCTGGAGTTTCGAAATATGAAGCTTTCTTTCAAGTTGCGATCCCCTCCCCGCGGCCATGTTAGTGCATGCGGCCCTAAGTATGCTTGCAGGCATCGGTGCAGGTGTGTGAACAACCATCACCAAGGCTGAAGTGCCGGAAAAGGGTTCAACGGAAGGACTTCATTTCTGCACAACGCTTTTGTTCAGGTATTTTGAATTTCTTTTCTTTCTTGCTTTGATTAAGAAAGTTCGCGAGTTAGAAGCAATCAAAGAAAATTACTCAAGATTGGCATTTTTCAAGCAGGTCACCAAAAAATTCTGAAGGTATTTTTAGTAACTTCCAAGTTCCAATTTGCTTGAACCTGGGCATTGTTGATACTTTTCAATTTTGCTGTGCCGTACAGGCTTGTTAGGCCGATACGAATAAGTATACCATCCTAACAAATCTGTACGGCACAGCAAGAATGAAAAGTGTCTGAAATTAATAAAGAAAGAAAATTATGCTCTTTACTAAGCACCTTTTTCACGACAAAAAAGATTGAGAATTAGAAGCAAATAAAGAGAATTACTTCAGTTTTGCAATTTCTGATCATGCTCAAAAAAGCCCAAAAACGTCACAAAAAAGACGGGAAGTCATGAACATGGATTTTGTGACATTCTCTTTCTAGCTGAAACAAATTCGTGCCCATCGAAAACAATTTTGATTTTCGTAATATTTCCGAGTTTTCGAGTTTGATTCTTAATATTTCCGAGTTTTCGGGTTTGGTTTTTACGAAAATCAAAATTGTTTTCGATTGGCACGAATTTTTTTCAGCTGAAAAGAGAAGGTCACAAAATCCATGTTCATGACTTTAGCGTCTTTTCTGTGACGTTTTTGGGCCTTTTTGAGCATGATCCGAAATTGCAAAACTGACCAATTCTCTTTATTCGCTTCTAATTCTCAATCTTTTTTGTTTTGAGTCGTGAAAAAGGTACTTAGTAAAGAGCATAATGTTCTTTATCGAAAAATACTTTCAGACACTTTTCAATCTTGCTGTGCCGTACAGACTTGTTAGGATGGTATACTTATTCGTATCGGCCTAACAAGCCCGTACGGCACAGCAAGATTGAAAAGTATCAACAATGCCCAGGTTCAAGCAAACTGGAACTTGGAAATTCCTAAAAATACCTTCAGAATTTTTGGTGACCTGCCTGAAAAATGCCAATCTTTATTTTTTTTTGATTGCTTCTAACTCGCGAACTTTCTTATGCCAACTCATGGCAGGGGTACTGTTGTAAAGAGAATGGTTTCCTTTTTGTAAATGAATATACAGGGTACGGAAAAAGTACTGCCCCTCAAAATGAAGCGGCGTAATTCTTAGGTTTTTCTGGTAAACTTGACACAAATCCTAAGATGTGAATGTATTCTAGCATTTTACAAAAACTGGCTGAAAAATTTTGCAATCTCACCCGGCGGTGGATCCCTTTTCGCAACGCATCCCATATCAAGCCTTGCAACTCCCTTTCACAAGTGTAAAGGAAGTGTGAAGTTTTTAAAATTCTTTTGTTTCCAACGTGGATTTGAGAAATCCTCTATTACTTGAGGAACGTTATAGTGTCTTCGAAGTATGGTGGAAGTAGCCAGACCGCAGTTGCAGTAGGAGAAAATTTGGGAAGTTTTCCAAAGAAATAGCGTCTGCGGCGCAACAGGGTGCGATCAGAAAACGTGGCACAGAAACTAGGTATAATCGTTTATCGCTCCAAAATCGTGATGTAGACAGAGTCCGATGCTCTTTTCATTATTCCTGTTATTTTTTGTTCGAATCTGAAATTTTGAATC